GTCTAGACCCGAGACCCGACCCAAACCCATCGGTTCTCGATTCGAGTACCCGTTCGGGTATTTAATTTATGAAGAACCGCTCAATTCGGTTCAGTTCGGTTCGGTCCGAGACGTTTGGACACCCCTAACTATACCTGGTCAATAACCAAATTATCTAAGGGCAAGTATTATATTGGTTGCAAGTGGGTTTATAAAATTAAATATAAGCCTGATGGGAGCATAGAATGGTACAAATATCATTTAGTAGCCAAGGGCTATACTTAGCATGAGGGTTTAGACTTCACAGAAATATTTTCTCTAAGCTGTGACCGTGAAGATATTTCTAGCTATTACTGCTATTCACAAATAGCATCTTGTTCAATTGGATGTCAACAATGTATTTCTTAATGAGGACTTATTTGAAGAAATTTATATGGATATGCCCTTAGGTTATTGTAAGACATATGCATATCTTGCAAGAGGTGAGCATCTATTGTGTAAACTTCACAAATCCATTTATGGTCTTAAACAAGCATCCAGACAATGGTTTTATAAGTTTTCTTATGCTCTTGTTCTTCATGCTTTTCATCAATCAAAATCAGATTATTCTTTATTCACTAAGGAAATTGGTGATAATTTTGTTGTATTATTAGTGTATGTTGATGACATTATTATCACAGAACCAAATCATTGTGTGATTGAAGCTTTGAAGACATTTTTACATAGTCAATTCAAACTCAAAGATCTTGGCAAACTGAAGTATTTTCTTGGTTTGGAAATAGCTAGAACTTATAATGGGATATTTTTTTCCCAAAGGAACTATACATTACAACTTTCGGAAAATACAGGATTCTTTGGTTGCAAAGCAGCTGCTCTACCTATATACCCTAAAGTTCGCCTTAGTTCCTTTGAAGGGGAGTTAATTGATGATGCTTCTATGTATCAAAGGTTTTTTGGTTGTTTGCTTTACTTAACTATCTCTCATCTAGACATAACATTTGCAGTCCACAAGTTCAGTCAATTTGTCTCTCAAACACGTCGCCCCACCTTGATGCTGCTAATCACTTATTATAGTACCTCAAAGACACTCCAGGCCAATGATTGATTTTTTCTGCTTCCTCTTCATTACAGCTTCGAGCATTTGTTGATGCTGATTGTGGATAATGGGATTCAAAAAAATCTGTCACATGCTTTTGTGTATTCATTCATTGGTGATTCTATGATTTCTTGGAAAGCTAAGAAGTAGCAAACCATATCTAGATCGTCTGCAGAGGCAGAGTACTGTGCTCTAGCTTCCACCGCTAGTGAACTTGTTTAGATTCATCAGCCACTTCATGATTTTCAAGTTCCCTCATCAGTTCCAGCCCCCATTTTTTGTGATAATCAAGCTGCACTTCACATTTCCAGTAATCCTATTTTTCATGAAATGACAAAACACATTGAGATTGATTGTCATTTCATCTATGATAAGATTACTGAAGGTTTCATCAAACTTTTACCAATTCGATCAATTCAATCTCAACATCAGTTGGCGGACATATTCACCAAAGCTTTGTCAAGTTCTCTGTTATTCCCTTTAATGTCAAAGATGACCACTACTGATATTCATCGTCCATCTTGAGGGGGGAGTATTAGATTCTTCAGTTAGTTTAGTTAGTTATGTTAGCTGCTGTTTTAGTTAGCTGGATTAGTTTTCATACAACTTGCAAATTAGTTTGTAAGTCAGTCGGTTAGTTGTACAACTGTCAAAGTAATTCAGCTCTATTTATACAATTGATGTAACTCGTTTTCAATTGAATGAGATCTTCCCTCAATTTCACAGTTTCTTCAACTCTGCTTCTTCCTCTTCTATTCTTCTTCAACACTCTGTATAGCAAAGTAAAACGGAAAAAATACAAAAAAATATTGGAACCTGGAGATGGGGGTGCGCGGGGATGTCTGGCTGGAACGCGATGAAAAGTTCAAGGAAGCCATTGAATGGGTTGAAGGTCACATGCAAGACATGGCAGACAAAGTAAGGAAACAAAATTGTTCATGCACAATCCAAATCCAAATTAGAAAAACTAAAAACAAACTTTGTTTCAAATTTCTGATTTGGAATGGAGGAAATCTCTTCATTTCCAAAAGAGGGTCTAAAATTGCAAGAGAGACGACAGATAGATAAAGGCAGAAGAAAGAGGAAACCAAATTGCCACTGAACAAAGTCAAATTCAAATTAGACAAACAAAAAAATGAAGTTTGTTTCGAATTTTAAATTTGAGATGTAAGAAATTTCATGAGATTTTGCCCATTGTTTGGTATTATAATTTTTGAAATAATTTTTTTTTTTTAGAATGAGGGTTTAAAAAAGAAAGAATAATTTTCGATTTACGTAAAATATTATTTTGTTAAAGAATGTGTGATTGAAATGAAAAAAAATAAATATACATTATAATTTTAATGAGCCAAAAGAGGACTTTGTTAGGGTTTCAAAAGGGATCTGAAATTGCAACACAGGCGACAGAAAGAAAAAGGAAGAAGAAGTGTCTAGAGAAAGAGTTAAAACAAATCCCTAAAAGTGATATAATATACGATATCATCATGATATCAAGATAACGCCTTATGAATACTTTTATATGTAGGCTTCGTTTGGGAGCCATTCTTTCTTCAAATAATATCATTTTTTCTTTCACATCAAGTGGGATCCTGACTGGAAAGAGACACAAAAAAGTGTGATTTGACACAAAGAATGCATTTTTTTATAGAAAAATGGTTACCAAACGGAGGCGTAGAAGGATCATTCAATTATAGTTGTTTCAAAATGAAGACATAAATATAATTGAACTACAAATCATGATTGTTGAGTTTTGAACCAGATGGAACAATTTAAATGCAAAAACGAAAAAAAAATTAAAATTTACATGTATAGGTACATGCATCACTATAATTGATGCATATATACTAACTACATATAAAAATAGCTTTTGCAGATTGCCAACGACTATATAGCCAAAAGAAAATTGTAATGCATATGTCATACCTTTTCGACTATCTGTATATAGTTTTCGAATATTATTATATATCTAAAATGTATTCAGAAAATACTCAATTCTCTCATTTGTATTGATTTTAAAACTTTTACATTTTATGAGCTCGCCCTTTTATCCTAGCAACATAGCCTAGACGAAGGATAAGAACAGAAATTGTGTCATTTTAATACTTGTGTCCTTGGGCCGTTCCATTTTCTGGAACCTCTATACTCTGATTTATGACTTTTGTTACCGTTTAAGTCTCCATGGTTTCTTTATGAAATGCTAGCTCATGGCTTTCATCCACATTGTGATGACTTTTAATCTTCATGTTGACATAATATTTTTAGTTAAGTGGACTGGCGGTCAGAAGCCACCGCAACTAGGATAGAGCCGAGGCTCAAAGCTATTGGTAAGAAGTCATGAAGGTCAAAGTAGAGTTAGCCAAGCAATTCGGAGGTTTTGGGCGAAATTTTTTGAAGAGACCTATTCACGAATAATAATTTTTTTAATAAAAAAATAAATATTACATATATCTACGAAGTATTGTATCATTTCATTAAAAAGGACTATAGAAATAGAAGTTCAAGTATAGAAAGGTTAAACTCTAGCAATAACGAAACCTTCAACTATCCAAAAGATCTCTCTCTAAATTTTTTTTTAGAAGATAGGGAGCCTGCGACTTAACAAAGAAAAACTAAACGACCATGAAAATAATACCAAATAAAGAATTAAATCGTTAAATTTAAAAACCAAGCACTTCTCAACCAACAATGAACATGTTTCATTTCACAAACTTGTGTTGAACTATGTATAAAAACTTATTTTTCTTGCCTTTTTAGGATGCAAGAAAAATACTATAAAAATAAGTTACAATTCGAATAAATTATATGCAATATAATTTCTAAACTATGACAATTGAGTTAAAAAAAAATAAATTAAATACCATATACTAATGGACATTATAATTGCAAAGAATAATGAAAGAGACTTATTAATCTCCTTTATATTTATTAATCCAAATAGTATATAAAATCATAAATAATCCAAATAGTATATAAAATCATAAATTCATTAATTTGGATTGAGAACTTGGTAGTATTATCAACTTTTGGCCTATCATCTTTGAATTAATATAAATCAGCATTTGTTTTATCTGTGGCTTTCAAAATATATGTTTTCCGCTATTTTTATTTTTCGTCTTGAAGATAGGAGAATCAGAATAAATATGGAACACAGTGAGAAAAGAAAGCTATGAAAAAATTTAGGATATTTAAACTTTAAAGAAGGGGACTGGGAAAAGTTAGGCCCGTTCTCTTTGTATTTCAATTTTCTGTTTTGAGTTTTGGATTCGTTTTGTATTTTGTGTTTTGAGTGTCTGTTTTGAAATTGTTGAAAATGCATTCTGTTTGTTGTTTTGGAAAGGAAAACTATTTCTGAAAACATAAAACTAGAAAACGCGTTTACTTTGAAATTTTGAGAAATTTTTTTTTAATAATATTTTATTCAAGAAATCTGATTATTCAGTAAATTTTAATAGTTTAATGTTAATATAGTATTAAATAATAATGATAATTTTGAAGTTTTTAAATTTTGAAATATTTTTTCCACATATCAAAAACACAACCTAAATTTTAACATCCAAGTGGCTCGTCTAGATAGACAAATTTTAACATCCAAGTGCTAGTCGGAACGAAGTACACTTTAATGGACTCTAGTATTGTATTAAGACTTTAAAATTTCATTTTAAAAGGTGTCAATTTGTCGTTGGTCTTTAAGAGGAGAATATCCTAAAATTATGTCATCATTAAAAGAAACTAATGAAAATGGCAAGCAAAAATGGACAGAGTTTACCAAATAGATGGTACTTATAGAAGTTCATACAAGGAAATAACAATATTGCTTTCACATTTCGATACATTTTCTTTTTGTAGTTAATATTACAACAGTATGATAACAATTCTGATCAGTTAACAACAAAACAGTTGATACATTTCCACTTTTCTTCAACAAAAAACTCGAAAAATGAATGAACAAAATCAGTTTTTTACAGGTTCTTCCACTCATCGTCACTATACATCTCTGTTTAAAATTTTCTGCTATTTTAACAATTGCACAATTCCTTGGTCTTTAACTAGATGATACCTTGGCTGGATTGTGAGCTTGAGATCATAGATGACTGAATCTGCATAAAAGGGAAAAGCTAATTGGTAAGACGTTTGCACTTAAAAAGAAGTGAATTTGCTAAGATTTGACTCCAAAATCTCAAATATAACCTATGACCGATAATGAACGTCCACAACCCTAATCAAAATTAAACCAGTAAAGGGAAGAATGCAGAATCTAGCTTAACCAAGTGAAGCAAAAACCTCATGTCAGATTTCATGGAGATAAATTGCTATACTTGTATCAATAAAAAATTATCCAAGTCTAAGCCGCATGCAAGAAATGAGTGACTGTAAGAGGGTCGAGCTCATGTAAGCAATGTAGAGAGCCTCTCAAAAGTTTCCGATGGCTGAGTGACGTGAGCTCGTCACTGGTGTTTGTTTGGAAGTTTTCACAAGCTACAATAGCTACAAGATTTACTTATTGACGTGAATAAGCCAAGCAAATTCCCAATAAATTTAGTTATAAGTAAATATGTAAAATCTTAAAATAGATGATTCTTTTGAAGGTCGAAGTTAGATATTACTTAGTCACTAAACTAACCCCTAGAAGCAAAATAATTAACTTGTTTAGAAATAAAAAGAGAATTATTGAACTATAAATTTAAGTAACTTTTATGCATAACCAAACATACAATAACAAGATAGGCATGCTCCAAGTTGAGCCAGAAGCTGATGGAAAACTTTAGGACTCTCATAACAGCAAAAACTTCATGGAAGAGTCCCCTTATAGTTAGTAAGCTTCTGCCCATCTTCCTTCTTTTAAGAAATAATCAGAGTAAGATCGAAAAGCCTTACTATCAGAGCATAAAAGCTAGCAAAAGAGCTGGGAATATCTCGTATGGCTCCAAAGATCATAGAGTAGGGGTTAGACTCCTAAAAAGCTCTTGGTCATATTTGACACACAATGTCAACATAACCTTAGGTAAATTAAGGATAATATTTGGCTAAGGTACTAGAATTGATAGAAAGAGACTCAATTCATCCATTTCTTGTCCACAATGACGTCTATACTTAAATGTGGAAAGGAGGGTATTATGTTGATGTTTTATCTCAATATGTGAATACTCAATCATTTTCGGTGGTCACCCCAACTTTACCCCTTAAATTTGTGTTCTCATTCACAAAACCATAAGCTATTAATCCTCACTGTCCTATATATGGCCAACGTTCACTGTTTTCCCTGAATTCAATTAGCCAAATGGGTTTCCATCAAAAGAACATGGATAAAGAGTTACTAATTTTACTGAGACATATATAATAAGTTTCAGAACTCAAGTTCAAACTAGCAATCAGTTTGCCAATCAAAACATGAACAGTAAAAGATTCACAAAATATACAAATTATTAAATGAACAAAAAAAAACTGATTTATTAAACTTTTTTTTTTCAAAAGAAACAAGCGTATCAATCAATTAACCATTTACAAAAGCCAGATTATGTTTTCGACCAACAAATCATCTCATGGTACTGCAATCCCGCCACGTTGTACAATCTCTGGCGCACCAAAAAATTAAACATAACATAGAGTCCCACATTACTTCAGCAATCGTAATTACGCATCGTTCATTTAGTATGAAACGAAAATTCTGATTCTCTAACAAATCATAGTACAACGCGAATTTATATATAGATAGAGAGAAAGAGAGGTAGGGGGAGGTTCTTACAGAGACAATGGAAGTGGGGTACACAAATTGAGAAGAGTGAGAGGACGCGCTAGTTTGAGAAGGAACAGAGTCCCACGATCTAGGCGGTATCCATGGGTCATCGAGCTTCAACTTGTCCATCAGAGACCCCATTACGTCAGTCTGCGATTCCATCGCCATGAGTTGTGGATAAGCCCTCTACTCCGTCGGCGACGGGAAGGCAGAGCGACCCCTTTTCGGAAATGGCTCTGGTCTTACGGAGAGAGAGGGGTTAGGTTTTGTGAGAGAGAGAGAGAGGCACGCTTTGGTAGTCCCTATTTCAGTTTTTTTCCACTCGTTTTGCGCGTTTTGGGAGTTTCGAGTTTTTTGCTTCAAAATTTACAAAACGACATTTTTACCATTTTATGTTTTCAGCTTTAAATTTTTCCTTGTTTTCAAAAATTCGTTTTCGAAAATGGGAAAGAGACCGCGTTTTCACTGTTTCGAAAAATCGAAAACAGAAAACGGCTTGAAAACAATAAAGAGAACAGGGCCTTAATTTTCGGGGGTGTTTGATGGATATTATTTAGAAAAGAATATATTTTAAATAGTGATATGATGAGAAATATTATTTTATTAAAAAATATATAATTGAAAATGAATTTTGAAATAACGTATTTTGAAAGGACATATGTCCAGTCGTATTGAACATGTGCAAGCAACTTGGTCCTTTGTACATAAATGTTTTCTCCCATTCCATTATTCGGAAAGTAAACCGCAGACTGCAAAGTTGTTGACCATAACAACACGCCTATATTTACTCTCAGAAACTTCATTGAATTTTAACGTTTTGTACTAGAAACTCGGTTAAAAATGCCATGATTATGTTTTTTTTTCTTTTTTTTTACAGTTGCAATTTAACTTTAATTTTTAATTTTAAAAAAAATAATAACATAAGAATCTGAATTTTATTGAGAAAAAAAAAATGGCAAGCAAATGAGCCACAATCTATAAAAACATATTTTTTTTTTATTTAAAGAGAGAGGACCTCCATTAGCCATGTCAACAAGTCCAGTCGAACCGAGACACGAGTCGAAACTTGAAACTTGGGCTCGACTCAAGCAAAAAAGTTCCGTGTCTCTCTTTTTTTTTTTTTTTTTGCTCAAGCTGAGCCGAGCCGAGCCAAAACTTGGCCAAAAAATTGAGGCTCGATTCGATCTTTCGGCTTGAGCCTTAGCAGGTCGAGTCGACTCATTTTTTTAAAATATTCTTTTCGTGCCAAACTGCCTGCTGTAGCTGATAAATTTTTTTTTTTTTTATTTCTTTTGCATTTGTTTTCAAATTTTTTTTTTTATGGGCTCAGCTTGTCCAGGTTGAAAATGGCCCGTGTGTCTTGTGCTCGAGCCTTTGCCCCAAAATAGGACTCGGCTCGAACTATTTTGGGTCAAGCCATGGGCGGCCCAAGTCAACGAGCAATTTTTCCATGAGGAAATTACATCCTCACAGATTTTTAAGTTAGCACTTTCATAAATCCAAAATCATCTTTAATAATACATAAATCAGGTTTTAACTAATAATTTTTAAATTAATTTTTATTTAAATAAATCTTACAAAATTTCAACCCTAATTAATTCATTTCCACTCCCCCATCTCTCTCTCTCCTGCCAGCCTATTTTCTCTCAAATATCTCTCAATCCTCGCCGCCACCATCCCACCGACATCGCCGCATCATCACCACTGCAGAATCGCCCCCTCTCTAAAAAAGGAATTGATCGGATTATTACCCTGAAACAGTAGCATTTCAGCGGTCAACGTCGGCTTTCAACGTTCCCAGACCCCTCACCATGAATACTTGTTGCTGTACTTTCTCTTGCCTTTTAGATCGGGTGAGGTGTTGGTGATGTGTGGTTGTTCTAGCAGCGTCTGTTTTGGTTATGTGTGTGGTTGTGGTTGGATCTGGTGCGAAATGGCTGGCTGTGTTGATGGTGGGTTGTGTTGATGGCGGTGTGGGCTGTGTTAGGGTGCGAGGTGGTGGTGGCGATGTGTGTTGTGTTGGTGTGCGAGGTGGTGGTGATGACTGGAATTGTGCCGATGTTGGTGTGTGTTGTGTTGGTGTGCGAGGCGGCGTGTGCTGTGTTGGTTTGCAGATATAGTGGATTTGTGGGGGAGATGGTGGTGCTTATGTTGGTGGTAGTGGTGGTTTCGGTGTTGTTGGGGGATTTTGGGTTATCTGGTTGCAGCGACGGTCAGTCTGGCTGCGACGGTAAGGATGGTGGTGGTAGGGTCTCCATGGTTGATTTGTGACCAAATATTGGTGGATGATCGGGACATGGGTGGGGTGTTTAGTGTATGTGACCGACATTTTTGGTTTATTGTGACTCATTTTTAACCTGTGACCTCAAACCAGCGTTTATGTGGTGTTGGTGTTGGTGTTGGTGGAGGAGACGACGGTGGTGTTGTGTTGGTAGTGGTCACAAATGATTTGTTGATTGTGATCAATAAATTTGTTGGTGTGTGACCAATGAAGAATAAGTTGTGACCAATAAATATTGTGTGACCTACAAATTTATTAATTTGTGACCAATAAAAGTAATCTGTGATCTATAATTTGATATTTTGTGACCATAAAATAAGTTGTGTGACTTATAAATTTTTAATTTGTGACCGATGAACGGACCGTGACCTATAAATTTTTTGAATTGTGACCTTAAAATTTTTTAATTGTGACCAAATTGCATAGATCTGTGACCTTTATATATTTATTAATAAAATATATAATTAATTAATTAAATTATAAATAAATTTTAATGAAAACCTGATTTTTGAAATTTAAAATCTCGAACCTTAATTTTGAAATGGTGATACTTAAATACCTTCTTTATGTATTGTTTCCTTTTTCCATCCATACCCCCATAGGCGACAATGAATTTTATCTTTCAATATATTATTTTGATATACTTTACCCATAAAAATAAAATTATCCAAAAATCACATAAATTTTCTTCAAACCTCTGTACAAAGAACTCTGACGGTGTGACATGAAGAGTCATTCCCTAGACACGTGTCAACCAAAGATTGGCCAGTTTTTTCTGGGTTTCTCCAGATATTTCTAATACTGGAAAAGTGTTTCCAGATCAGACGCTAATCTTCGCGAATTCTCGAGAAATACAGGTTCTCTTCGTTAACTTTACATATTTACCCTTGAGCTGCACGATAAATAAATCCGTCTCTCCCGCGTAGTGATTCATAGCAAAATCCAGTCGGTAATCTCCTTCACATCTATCAAATAATTTTGTGCAGACCCATTTTCTGAACTTTCTGTTATACAAGATCGAAGAATGTCGCTCATTCCAAGTGTTTTCGGCCGAAGAAGCAACGTTTTTGATCCATTCTCTCTCGATATTTGGGACCCTTTCAAAGATTGGCCCTTTAATTAAGCCCTGTCAGTCCCAGTTCGTTCAGATCTTTCTAACGAGACGTCTCAGTTTGCCGCCACACGGATTGATTGGAAGGAGACGCCGGAAGGCCACGTGTTCAAAGCTGATCTTCCCGGACTGAAGAAGGAGGATGTGAAGGTTGAAGTTGAGGAAGGGAACATCCTGCAGATTAGTGGAGAGAGGAACAGGGAGATGGAGGAGAAGAATGACAGCTGGCACCGCATGGAGAGGAGCTCCGGAAAATTCCTTCGCCGGTTNTGAAGAAGCCTGAAGTGAAGGCCATTGATGTCTCTGGCTGAGAAGTCTTGTGTATTGAAGCGGGATTAATGTTTCATGTTGTCTGTTTTCCTATATGGTTTTCGAAGTGTACTCGTGAAGTTGATCAATTTGAAATAAAATGTGAATTTGTTTGATTGCATCTTTTTATTTTGCAATTATCTGTTCTGTACATTGCAAAAAAATCTACTTCTATAATGCGTCAACGTGTACATGAACCAAGCCAAATTGCGGTAGGTCAAACGAGACCAATTAAGATGAACTTAATATTTAGGTCCCGTTTGGGAGGGATTAAAATTTAATTAAAATTTAAAATATGATCGTTATTGGGTCCCACTCGTCTAATAAAAGTCAACAATAACGGCTATATTTTCAATTTTAATCTAATTTTAATCCCTTCCAAACAAGCTTTTAGTGTTGTTCACGAAAATATCATTTGAATTAAAATGATTGTAAGTGAATTTGAGTTCAAGTGTCGTTTTACAAAAAATTGATTAAGCTCATTTATGGTGCATATTTTGAGTTTGAGAACGTATTTTTTTTGTTTAATGTGATGAGGAATATGTGATTAAAAAATAAAGAAAAATTATTGATGTGATTAAAAATATTATTTTATTGAATAATGTATGTTTAAAAATAAGTATATGAATGAAAATGAAAAAAATAATGTGGTTCAAACAAAGGGTTTAGTTTAATTTTATTTATCGCGGCTTTAATTGAAACAAAAATAATTAGATGTGTTTGTTTGTGACAAAAGTGTACTTAAAATAATTTACTTATGTAATTATGAGTGAATTAATGTGTTTTAATGAATGAAATGTGTTCTAGACTTCCGAATTTTCATGTAAAAATTCTTTTAAACTTTAGTTCTACACGTTGACAATACGATTGAATTTTGAAGAATTAATGTTCCTAAGAATTAATGTTTTTATTTTATTAAATAATCTCTATCGAGCAATGTTAAATATATTCTCATATATGATCAGACTATATTTTTATAATGGATGCGAACATATAAGAGTGCATGAATTTTTATGATCATTTAAAAATTCACATAGAGCCTAGCAGTATATTTATATCTTTTATCAGACCTTATAACGATTTGCACTATGTCGAATTTATTTTCTTTCTTTAAAATACATAAAATTCGTACAATTATTGTGCATAATAATTATAGAAAAAAATAATCATGTCAGATAGTTAAAAGTCAAAAACATATTTTCAATGTCAAATATGTAAAACTAAAAGTTAACGCATATTACACTATTCATCATTTTACTAGTACAAAGAAATCTAATCTAACATGTTATGAAAAAGAAATATTAAAGAATCGATATCACTAAAATAAATCTTGAATTGAATTTTCAAGTCTAGGAATCGATCTTCATGTTTCTTGCCTTCTATCCTCCCTAATGAAATCTGTTGCGTTGTAACACGTTTCTTATCAGCCATAGGTCTTTAAAAGGCGTCCCAAATATTATTTCCATAAGAGTTGGTGTCATATAAGAAACTAGAAATTTTCATTCGAAATGTACTATGTTATAACATAGTACAATCATGTAGTGATGGCAACGGGACGGGTATGGGACGGGTCGCCATTCTCATCCCCGTCTTGTTGAGTATTTTTGTTACCTTACCCTCATTCTCATACCCGTTTAAAGCGGGACGGGTGGGTTCGACGAGGGATGGGTGGGGGGAGGTGGGTTTCTTCTGTCCCATTTATTTTTTCTATTTATTAATTAATTAATTATTTATTTCTTTTAGTCTTTACTTTTTAAATATTATTATTTTTTTACCAAGTTATTAAAAACAACTTATATTCTCTTTAAAAATATGATAAATCCTTTCAGGTGGGTAATCCCCTCCCCCGGTCGGGGTGGGGCCCCACGAGTTTGGGTTGAACGAGTTTTTTGTCATCCCTACAATCACGTGTTATAGCAAAACTTCAACTCTAGGATTCTGAAGCTACCTATGCTACAGGGTGGTATAATGTACAATGCTATAGTATAATATATGCAAAGATCAATTTTTTTTTTTTTTGCATTTTTGTCGCCAAACTCGGTTTTCTCGTTTCTCGATCACTTTTCTTGCTTCTTGTTCTTTCAATACTTCATTCATTTATTCAATTGGTCTTCAACTCTTTCACATCTTTGTTTTTTCTTCCAGATCGTCTTTGGACTATTTGCACTTTGGTATCTGAACATTTATATTCATCTATTTTAGTCATTTTCGCTTGTTTTTTCTAAATTTCACTATTTTCATCAATGTTGTTCTGCAAAAAATAATTTATATAGAATTAAGCTATATTTCAATATATGTACTTATAATTATCCATGTTTTATGACCTAAATAAGTATATAAAACGTACTTACCAGGAACACATTCAAGAAAGGCAGAACACTAAAGATAATCATTAAACACATGTTACACCAACAATTGACAAGCGGATCAATTTTCTAGTTGGATATGCTGATATATCAAATAAGGAAAATATACTATAGAGGAAAAAAAAAAAAAAGCATTGCCTTTAAAATTAAGTGAAAATGCACAAATCAAAACTTGGACATCGCACACATTCATAGAAGAAACTTCATACTCAATACTAGTTTAATCATTACAAATTGCACTTCATAAAGTTGGAATAATTCATTTATATAATTAAGTTCATTTATTAAATCCGAATATCAATCTATGGCGAGTGTATCAACTATAATTTTTTCTGTTAATGTGCCATTTAATTAGCTTTGACGTTCAAAATCGAGTAATCAATTTTGTCATTTATAATTGAATTTTAAAAGATCGGCTGCCATAGTCAAGTTGTCAACCATGCATTCGGACATAAATTACATTGAATGTCGAATTATTCATATAGCCCGTGTTTGGGCCGTATTATTTTTCTCATTCTCAATTTTTTACTCATTTTCAACCATATACATTTTTCAATAAAATAATATTTTCCATCACATCAATAATTTTTCTTTCTTTTTCAACCACACATTATCTATCAATCTACTATTCTAAAATATATTTTTCCAAAATAATGTGATTCGAACACACCCATATTGAGGTTATTCATTGGAAGGAAAGATCGACTCTAGCAGCTCACGATGATATTTATTATGGACTTTGGTATCATCATCACTTTTGATTGACTGACGATGAGGTGTTGATGTCAACTATGACACGCGACTGTGGGAGATTGGTTAAAGAGGTGATGATGTCATTATAGTAAAATCAATAATCATGATATTTCTTAATTACGGTAGAACCCATCGAGCTCAAGAACAGGTAGAACCAAGTTTCTTTTGAGAACGAGGTGAAACTAGGGATGGCAGTAGCTTGTCGGCTCCGGCTCGGCCAGGAAAAAGTCCAAGCCGGCCCGTGAGAAAAAAAAAAAAAAAAAAACTTGTCGATACTTCTTTTTTTAATTTTTTTCTTTTTATTTTAACTATAATTTTTTATATGCTAATATTTTTTTAAATTATTTATAACACGTATAAATTACACAAATTTTAGATTCTTTAAAAATTTTTTAGATTTGTCACGAATTAAAAAAAAAAAAAAGAGCTGAATCGGGCCCGGCTCAGCTCGGCTCATTAAGGCTCGAGTTGAAAGCTCGGATCGAACCTAAATTTTTTAGCTGAGTTTTTGCTTGGCTCGGTTCGGACAAAAAAAAGTTCGAAGTATTTTTACTTGAGTCAAACCCGAGCAAAAAGTTTTTGCTTGTGGCTGGACTCGACTCGTTGACACTCCTAGGTGAAACTGTATTCGCAGTTTAAAAACTTTATTAGGGATTTTAATGTAGGCCAACCCACGATTAGGAATTCGATATCAACAATTATTATTATTATTATTATTATTATTATTAGTTTGATATATGGTTAGCACATTTCTAGACTTTGAAAATATATGTAACCCCACCCTTAATCTATAGTTTGTTACGTAAGTTGTGTACTTGATATTAAGAATGTGTTAAGAAATTCTATGGTTCTTACCTCATTTTTTTTCCTTTAGACATATATTATCAATTTTTTATTCGAGTGATAGTACAGAAATTAAATTCAGAAAGATTGACGTGTATCAAGTAAAAATGGGAATAGATAATTTGAAGCATAATTTTAGAGTCTCATATTGAATTATATTCCAATTTAAAATCACACCTGTTGCTGACATTAAAAAAATAAAAATATAAGTGGTATATACGTAAGTGCAATTTGTAACGGCTAATATAGCCAAAACAAAATTCTAATGCATAACGTAATACCTTTTCGAATATTTATACTTGAAGCTTAGGTATTTAAAACGTACTCAAAAAATATTAATCCTCTCATTTATATTGACTTTAGAGTCTTTTCATTTTTTCACTTGGGCTCTTGTCCCGTGGACAAGAATAGAAATAGTGTCATTTCAATCCTTGCGATCTTGTGCCTTTCTATTTTATTTATGGAATCTCTACACTTTCACAAGTCGACTTTTGTCATCGTTTCTAATTCACCATGATTTCTTTATGAAATGCTAAATATCTCATTGATTTCAACCATGCTTCACTCTGCGTTGTGTGACTTCTGATCTACACATAACGATAATATTTTTTTTAGCCATGTGGAAGTCAGAAGCCACCGCAACTAGGATTGAGCAAGGCTAAAAGCCATCAGCTCTTTATCATTTTGGTAAGAAGTCGTGGCATTCGAGGTAGAGCTTGTTCACTGATAATAATTTTTTTTTATAAGAAACCAGTAAGACGCACGTGTAATGCCTGTGTCATGGTATAGTTGGCTATATGATAGCGTAAATATAAAAAAAAATATTATTTTTCTTAAGCAATAGTTACAATAAACTTAAAACGCTTGAAATGATAATAGGTGACAAAAATAATATTAAGAGATTTGATTCAAAGTTTATTTTCTAGATTTTGCGTTTGAAGGTTTATCCGTTCTTTTTAAAAAAGACAGGACATAGATGATTATGTGTTGATGTCTTACTAA